CCTACAGACCTTCTTTGGAGCCTTGCAACCCTCACACCTCTCCCTCTTTTTTCAGCCTGGGAGCTGACTGTTTCCCCCTGCTTTTTCCCGTTTTCTTCTAGCCCTTTGCTGGCATAAGGGAGCTGGACAGTTTTGTTAGAGCCAATCCCTGGCTAAAAGGAGAATGACAAAAGTAGCAGCTGTGCAGCCTTGCCATTGACAAAGAACACAAGATTGATGCAGGACTGTCCCTCTTCCCTAGCATATGACATAAAGCAACATGTCTCTTGACAGCCATCCTCTACTCATGTTGGAGGGCAGAATTCAAGAATCACAACGCTGAGAGAAATAGAAATTTGAAGGGAAAGGCAAAAGAGAATTTATAACAGTATTTTATTGGCTTGCATTGCAAGCATTTTGAGGCAAAGATACCACTCACTGAGCATGCTTTCCAGTCATGAAAGACATAAATAATAATAATTGCTATTATTAATTTTACTTTCTTGGCACTACCAAGTTTACATACCTCCAACGATTTTGATGCGTTTTATTCTTAGAACTAAAGCTATTACAGCTGAACATCATTATCAGTGAGCATGTAAGAAATGGAAACTTAAAGCAATACTGCCACGTTCCAAAAAGCAAACCCCAAGCTTATGAGCTACCTACATCATCACAGAATCATAGAATTGGTTGGGTTGGAAGGAACCTTAAAAATCATCGAGTTCCAACTCCCCTGCCATAGGCAGGGACACCTCCCACTAGACCAGGTTGCTCAAAGCCCCATCCAGCCTGGCCTTGAACACCTTCAGGGACAGGGCCTCCAGAACTTCTCTGGGCAACCTGTTCCAGTGCCTCATCACGCTCAGGGTAAAGACTTTCTTCCTAATATCTAATCTAAATCTACCCTTGTTCAGTTTAAAACTGTTACCCCTCGTCCTATCACTACACTCCCTCATAAAAGAGCCCTTCCCCATCTTTCCTGTAGGCCCCCTTTAAGTACTGGAAGGCCGCTATAAGGTCTCCCCACAGCCTTCTCTTCTCCAGGCTGAACAACGCCAACTCTCTCAGCCTGTCTTCATATTAGAGGTGCTCCAGTCCTCTGATCATCCTCGTGGCCCTCCTCTGGACTTGCTCCAAAAGGTCTATGTCCTTCTTATGTTGGGGGCCCCAGAGCTGGATGTATAATATGATGCCCTTCACTCTACAGGTATCCCTGCTTTCTTACAAGATTTTGATTTAAGTAGGGTCTTCATATGAAGTTCCTTAAAGAAGAATTATTTTTCTGAGCACTGAGAGGGTCAGAAAAGAAAGCCATTGACTTCAGAGGGGATTTACGTGCCTATTGCAGCCATCGGTGCTACGCTGAAAACATATAGACATAATTTAACTCTAAGCATCCAACTTCCATGGTGGTGCCAAATACATGGAAGCAGTTCCTTGGTTGGTCATGGTTTTGCTTCCATTTGTTAGGTTGTCAGCTTTAAAAGAAAGTGATGGAAATATAAACAAAAAGCTCAATTTCATCTTCATGTTATAAGTAAAAGTTTGTAAAGCTGCAACTGTGATTTGCCACTGTAAACTCAATGCTCTAATGGATTACAGTAGAATAATATATTGCATCTGGCTTCTCTTCTCTTAAAACCAGCAACAGTACTGTACATATAATCATTTTAAGATGCAAAAGTTTAAAATAAATGAGGGACCTGAGGCAACATTTTTTAATGTGAGTATGTGTGTTCATGTATCAAAGGAGCTGATTCACAGTGTAGAATATTTAGTCTACACAGCTTCCATTGGTAATGTCAGATAATGTTTAGCTACAGGCCTGCCAAGGTTCTGGAAGCAAATCTTTGGAGCTAAGCAACACTTGCAATTTCATGTTTTTGGTTTAAGACTAGTCTGAGGCCGGAAGCAATGATGAAAGGGGATGTCTTTAAAAACGTTGTGATCATCCACCGGCCTAAACACCAAAACCTCCAAAATGAGTTCAATAGAACAGTCAGTGCATTTTCATGGGCAGTGCAGGAGCACACCTGAACATGGCATTCGGTGCATTGAGGGGAGGAGATAGCATTAGAGGCCAGCTGGCAAGGGGATTTCAGTCTCCAGAAGACATCTATCCTAGTAATCGTAAGTAACAGCAAACCTCAGAGGCCTTGTTTATCATTTGCAGAAGCAAATTGCAAAACCTCATGGAATTACAGCCACTATGCTTGTTCTAGAGTTCTACTGTTCAATTTTTCTGCAATGGATAAAACTCCACTTCAATCCTTCTAAGGGTAAACCCCTTCTTAAGGGAAGACAATTTCTGGCACCTGCTGGCATAGTGGAACTGAATTCTTCATGCATAGTGAGACTGCAGATCTTGCAACAAGCACTGTCAAAGGACAAGCCACACCGCAGCAAACCCCAAGTAAACATTTGTTAGAGGAAAGGCAAAAGTGCGGGAGATGATACAAGAAAGGAAAGGTGTTTGCCACATGGAGGTTGATAATACTACAGCTTAGTCTGTTGCCCAGATCATTTTATTCAGGTTATTTTCCTCTTCCACAGGACTGAGGGAGATGCTAAATGTTAGATACAGAAAGAATTCAAGTTACCTAAAGTGAGACTTAGGCAGACTCTACAATGAAACTATCATCCTGTTCCTTACCTAAAATTATCATACTGCTGTTTGCAACGTTAAGAGTCATTTGCATTTAGTTGTTTCACCTCTTTACATATGCCATGTCCTGGTTCCCAGCTCACTCCTAGGGCCATCAGAGAGTTGGAAAGTAGACATTTCTTCTCCTAAATCTCCTAAGGACCTGACTCGCCAGGCACTTCCAGCACCTCAGACGCCAGTAAGATCAAGCTGCTCAGAAAACATAGCAGACATCAGTTAATTCCACGCCACGCAGGGAATGAGTGCATTGCACTCTTTTTGGTTACTACTAATTGGACAATCAGTTCAAAGAGAAGTTATGCTGGCATAATCCCTTTTCTCTCTGAGGAGACACAAACCCATACTTGACTAAGCCATGCCTTTCTTAGCTTGCGGCACCATCCATCTCTCCTTTTGAAGCTGTACCACAACATATCAACAAAACCCAGGTGGCACTAGGTCAGAAAGTAAGCACAAGCACCCACTAGCCTCCACTCAAGGCTCTCACTCATGGGCGGAGGAGCAAAGAAGGCTCTTCACCAGCCATTGCAAAACAACCATACATGGTTGATGGACACATTTACTCCTCCTGGCTGATCCTGTTTTCCCCTTCAGTGCAGCCATACTCACTCCTTGGTTCACTGACTTTTTTCTGCAGTCTCAGGCTCAACTAATCCCTTTGTGCGGGGTGGCACAGCAGTACCAGGAGGACTGGTGGATGTTTCTAGGGCAGATTAGTCTAAAAGTTGTTAATTAGGATAAACGTGTGGAAGGTGAGATGTGGGTTTGGGCATGCCCTTGCCTCTCCTTAGAAAAGCAAACCAAACCCATATTCTGGACCAATACTTCATGGGTCTACAATAAAGTGTCGGCTATAAAACGGTGGGCACTGTCACTCTCCCCCTGATTTAAAGGGCAGCCCCGCTCCGTGCTTGCAAAAGATAAATACCAGTCTGAATTCCCAGAGACGTTCAGGCCCTCAGGTTCCTCAGAGGATGGGAGAAACGCTGTAGCCCTGAGTGAGATGGCTGAGAATGGGACTCATCCACTCAGCACGTGGAGTGCTTCAGATGACGTTCAGAGACACTGCGGCATGTTCAGGCACGTTCAGGCATTTACTTCTCTGAGCCACTTAGGCACACATTTCCAGGACACCATGCACCAAGTCCCTATTCTGCACTGATCTTCTCTAGCTCCTGCCAATAAGCAAAACAACTGCTGCCCATCTAACAGAGCCTTTTGAAAACTAGATGCAAATATTTTTTTATCCTATTTAACATCTCAGCTGGGCACAAGCAGGTGATCAACTTCTGCCTTGTGACAGCAAAGAGATGAGAGATGTCTCCATGTTCCCAACCTAGAGGGCAGAAATATCATAGACTTGCATACAAGACAATTGTTTAATATGTTCACAAATCAATTTTATTAATTTAAAACAAAATTAATGAAGAAAAATTCTGTACACAATTGTGGACACAACACACTTTTTGTACAATAAGGCCCAGATAAACTGTTTTTTTCAGTCCGCAAGTGACTAAAAATCGAAAAAAAAAAAAAAAGACAGACAACCAACCCCCCTCACTGTCTACTTTGCTTGAGGAAAAAAAAAGCTAATTATAGTCTCAATTCTAAAAACTACCCACAATGTGCTTTATGTACGTAAATGAGTACTGCGTGAATTCCAGCACTCATACTGGGTAAAGTAAAGCACATTTGCACGTCTTGGTAGAATAAAACCTCTCTGTTGGTAATAAAGCAATCCACAAACATTGAATTCTAGCAGCAATATGATTCCTCCAATAGAGAAGGGTGTTGTTGTGTAGCTACATTGGTGCTTTGTAGCTCTGCAGGTAGCTGTTTCAAGGCTGGTGTTTTTAGCAAAAGAAAACGAGAAGAAAAGCTGGAGAATGAACCAACAAAGCTGAGGCTTCTTTTTAATGAAGAGATTTAAATCAGGTAAAGGGAATTGGTACAATTCAAGCCAAAAAGTCAGACTAACAGTTTATCTGACCAAGTACCTCATGGCCTCCAGGATTAGAAAAGTCACAAGTCACAGACAGACACAGTCTAGGTTCGTCCTGTAAATGGGTATAGACAAAAGCAAATTTTAACTCCTTGGCGGTAACTATTTCAGTATTTCCATTGCCGGCAATGGATGTTATATCTTAGGAAAATCTGACTCCTGGTGGAAGAGGATTAAAAAACTTAAATGAATATGAGTATTCCTGTTCAATTTCTCCAAAATATTCCCATTTCTAATTTCTAAAAATAACAATGATGATAGTTTCCTTCATTTTTGGATGACACAAAAACTATTCGATACCAAGATTCCAGCTTAAGTCATGTCTTAAAATATATTTGTGTTCTCTCTCTATTTCTTTAGGGAATGAATCTGCTAATTCATTTTTCAGTACTTTAAGAAATGGTTAATATGTTAACTTTAAAAGAGGAAAGAGAAGACAGCAAAGGACTCCTCTTCAGTTGTATTTTACCTATATTTCCTTTGTGGGGGGAAAGAAATCAATCTTTTCATAATCAGACTAGGTGAGAGAAGAAAAAGCAAGAGAAACAGCCGAGAAGAACAAAACCCAATTCTTATTGACACTTGACATCCATGCTTTTGGTCTTGACAAATTTATCTAAAAAAATCCATTATCTACATATTTATATCCAACGCATTGATAAGGCACTGCACAACAGTTTGTGCACACGTGGCCTCATTCTTCACCAACAAGGCATTACTATATTTCAATAGCATTTACCTTAACAATATGTAAAAGAATCATTCATTATTACAAATTTACACAAAAAATTCTTCCTGTACACGATTGTCTCAGTGATGTACCTATTAGTTTAAATTAGACATATTTTAAACTACTCTGTAATGTGCTAAAATCAAAAGTAGTTGCTGTACCATAAGGCAAAGGCTTATAATAGCCTTTAATCCTATTATACATATCCTCAGTTATATGATGTCAAAATATAGTCTGTTCATAAATAAGTAAAGATGTACAGAGTACCCTGGGTATGAGAAACCAAAAAGTAAACCTTCTTTACAAGAAAATTACTCCACTGGTATTTTGAAAAATCTCAGTCTTCATTGTGCAATCAAGTTTGCTGTGTTGAAGAAATGGTGTGTGTCACATTGACGAGTCTAGAAGCTACAAAGCATTTGCAGGTCCTTTTCATTCTTCACAGGTATGAACCTTTTATTTCCTTTTTATTTTCTTTTTTTTTTTTCCTTCTCTATTTCTTTTTGGTAGCAAATATGGTAAAGATGAGTTGTTCAAATGTTTGCATGGCTTATTTTCGCTGGACTCGCAGTACCAGAGTCAACAGCTGTTCTGAAGAAAAAGACATGCTCCTCCGTTTACTGAAAGGGCAAGGGTTAAGACCAATTGCAGCTGTACGTCAACATGTTGAAATCACAAAGTTCTGTAGTCCAATGCTGACACAAGACACAGGCATCTCGTCCACGGGCAGAAGGAGGCTCTGGGGTTTCAAAGTGCTGCTGAGCTGCTACAAGTACTCCAGTTCCAAGGCATGGTGAAGGGCCATAAGGTCAGAGTGGCTCGAGATCCTCCAAAATGGCATAGCATGCTGTGAACAGCACAGACAACATGTAAAAATAACCCCAAGCATTCTGGTATTTAGACCCACCCATTGTCTTTCGCAAGGATAAGGGAACACTGCGAGGAGAGAAAAAGAGCTCTTAAAACCTTGAGCCCTTCACGTCTATCTCTGGTTTCTCTGAGCCACCCCCTCAGCTCAAATTCTCAGTAATGGCAAGTCTATTTACCAACACGAGCAACAGCAGGAGATCATACGGAAAGGAGGGGTTTCTCATCTTTTTATAAGAAAAACAGAATTCAGCACAGTGAAGAAGAAAGTATTATTTCTAGAAGAAAATTACGGAAAATAACCTATACATGAAGCATGTGGGTAGTTTGAGGAAGGGAATAGAACTTGACTAAAAATAATAAAAAACCCCCAACAAAAATATAAAGGAAGTGAAAGTATTATTTACTATCAAAACATGTTTGTTCCTTGTAGAACTATCCCTGGCAGGTGAGTTAAGAACATAGCCATGGTGATTCAGAATAGCTCATGTGTTGCTCACATTGCTTTGAAAGGAAATTTATCTCAGTGGCTTGTATAACATCACTCATTGTTAGTACTGATCTTAAAACATCTTTTCCATATGGGACAGTTTTAAAATAAATACATATTTTTTTCCTATTAGCTGTAATAAAATCTGTCTGGAGCACAAATATGTTTGCAAAGAACCGGAATAAACCAAAAACACAAACACCAGGGAAAAGCACACATTACCTCATCCATGAAGGGTAAAAATCTGATTAAGAATTATCTTTATACTCTAAATCAGGGATTAGAATGTCAGCAAGAACTTTTGCATAAATAAATAAATAAATAAATAAAAAGATAACCATCAGCTTTCATCAGGAAAATATTCTATAAATCCCATGGGAAAATAGTTTCAATTCAACAATGTTCTGAAGGCTAACATGATCATTTTCACCTTTTCATTGGGTCAGCTTGTGTCCTGGCATCTTTAGGAGGCAAACGACAAGCAATTTATTATCACAATAGCTTCTGAGTTCCCCAAGTGTTTTATCTACAACTTCTCAGAGAAGTTTTCTTCATCCCCTGCCAGCACTTCCTCAGTAAATTTTTAATTCTCCTGAAATCGGTGGCAAAAGTCCTCTTCTGATTATTAGTTCTACACTGACCTCCTTTTTTCATTCAAGTCTTCTCCTCAAATTTTAAGTTAGAGAACAATTCTGAAAATAATGTGAAACTCTGTTTCCAGTTGCGTGTTTACGATAGGCCCTGTAATTTTACCTTACACCTATCTCAGCAGGCAAACATATTAGCACAGAGCCTACCATACATTTTTCTTTAGAAACTCAGGTAAACAGCTGTCTGTCAGTGTATAAATAATTATTATTTATAGAAGAATGTTGCTTCAATCTAGATAATGATGTGATGATGAATTGGGTTGAATTTATAGAATAAAGCAGAGATGTTTAAAAGAAACATAACCATGTAAGTAGCAGCAAGTCTCTCTGAAGTCAAATGGCAACTGTTAAGGAACAATCAACTGTTGTTTGTGCAAGAGTCAGAGAAGTTAATACTGAATTAATGAATATTAATAAGAAAGACCAGAGAGTTGTACATGATCAGCAAGGGAGCCCTGTAAGGAATCTGGACATTGTGCACCCAAAGAAGGACAGGTGTCAGCAAGCGGAGTCACACAGGAAGAGGGACTGCAGAGTGAAGGAGGTGGCGCTGAGCAGCCAGTGCACCACATTTCAGGGTTTTCACTTCCAAATAGCTCTAGTCTGCCATCGTGGAGAAAGTGCAGTTGGAGAGCATTTGGTGAGTACCAGTACAACATATTGTTCTTTAGTTCTATCCAAAAGAAATCGGTTTTGTAGGTTTTGTTGGTTTGTTGGTTTTGGTTTTTTTTTTCCCCTAAAACCAGTCCAGGTTGTTAATCAAAGCATAGTGAGAGGGAATGACTGGAAGGTCTGCTTAGATATGACACTACTGATCTGAATTAAAGTGTAATATGGATGCATCAACAGATGCCTACATTCAGAGTATGCCTAGATTTTAGAGCAAGGAAATTTCTTCAGGAAGAAAATAAAATGATCCACATGGAAGCACCATTGGAAGAGTTTCTGCTCTGCTTTGCTTTACTCTAGATTGTTACAAAGCCTTGAGAAACAGCTGACTAAATCTCAGCTTGAAGATAAATGCATGAGCCATATCTGCTTATGGAGAGAACAAAACAAACAAAATAATGCTGAGACAATTGAGATATTGTTGGAAGAAATGCTTATGACATTTCCAAAATGCTTTTAAAATGCATTAAACCCTGCCTTAAGAAGGAAGCGTTAAACACTGACTGCGACACCTACTATTTCTACACCTTCAATCTAGACGTCCTTTGTACTGTCTCTGCGCTCCACCAGCAACAGAAACTAGATGCAATTACCTTGCTCAGTTACAACTCCAGGTCCCAGTGTCTTCCCTGTTACATTACACATAAGTCTGTCCTCTGCAATCTTTCAGGTCAGACACTGCTGCTTTCCAACTCAAATCTTTCCTAAAGATTTATTTCTTGCACCATGTTCAGGAAAAAAAACAGCAAGAGCAAAATGAAATAAAACTTCCTAATCGTGCTGTTCTCCAGACTCTCCAAAAGCTTCTGTGCACCTATCTCTCATTTAGGCTGCGAGATCTTACTGGAAGAATTTACAACATCTGATAGGGATATGAAATCAAGGACAAAGGGGCACAGGTTTGTGCTTGCAGCAGGTCCGTGCAGCGTTTGCCAGCTGATTGCACTTGGCCAGCGGTGCTCAGCAGTGCTGCCTCCCTTTCTTGCGTGGCTGCAGTTCCCCTCTTCTTCTCCCAAGCCACCCACCAGGTGGGACCTACCTGCTCCCCCTGCCAGCCAGCCATAGCTCCCTGCTTCTCTTAGTCTGCTTGGCACCGGCTCTCCCCCAGCCACCAGGGCAGGGAGGTGTAAATAGCATACCTAAGATGCGGCGTGGCGAAGAGCTTGGTGGACACCTGCCTTTGCGTAGTGTGTTTCTGCAGAAGCCAAGAGTCAATGACATGGACGCCGTCCAAGGTCATACAGCAAACTAATGAATAGGGAGGATTGTAGTAATAAATTCTTGGCTTCCAGCTCCCGCTTCATGCAGCTCCAGCATTATACTGCTTCCCTAGTAACAACCTCAGCATCACAGAGCGTACACACACCAGGCAGCTAGGGCAGTTAAAGACTCTGATTGATTTAACAGAAGGTTTAGCTTCTGCTAAATCAAATCACAGCAATTCTTGCTAGATGCCCATATGCGATATCGAGTTTTGGATTACCCTCAGCTGTTTATGGTCAGATTTTAAACCAAAACTTTAAGTGGTCATTATTTTGGCTATATCTTCCTATTCCAAACCCACTTAAGTGTCCTCCGCTTTATTTATGTCTGTCTGCGAAAGGAGTGTATCTCCATCTACTCCGTGTAGTTACAGGAGTGAGGTGTGGAATGATTCTAAAGAGTCCTATGAAAACAAAGAGGTTGTGTAAACCTCAGGATTATAATTATTTTCAGCTCTTCTGCATACAGGTCAAAAGACCAGCAGCACACTCCCAAGAAATAAAGCACGCCAGGAACGTGGCGGCTGCACGGGGCTGGAATCCACGCTGGCGCTCTCTGCAGGGCCGAACGTGGCCGATTCAGATCTCTATCAGTCTGACCCTAGGCACAGCCTTCATAGCTAAAAGGAGGGGAAGCAAACCTGATATAGGTCAATATGTGTATGTATATGTTTGTGTATGTATATACAGTCTCACACACATATGAGTCCATATATATATACACTGTGTTCACGGGGCATATACAGTAATTTTCACCTTATCTAAGATAATAAATGATTGTACAAAACTAAAACATTTAAAGTAACAAAATTCTCATACAAACCCTTATACTTTATTCCTGCATTAACATGTCCCGTTTGGCCACAACTATTCAGCCCTGTCAAAAATGCCAGCACACCCATGAGCCAGAAGTACATTTTTTCTTACTGAATGACCAGGCAAGAGTTTCTTTGTATATATATTCACTAAATATTGCCTTTAGAAAGTCCTCCCTGCCAACACTTAGCACACATGTCATGTACAACACGTGTCTTCTATTCTGAGCACACAGAAAAATGCTAATATCTCATTTGCAGCTGTGGGAGAATGGATGACTAATACTAATCACTAATAAATACGTGGTGTAACTGGATGCATTAGTATCTAGTGAAACTATACAAAAGCTTTTCTTATTGCTTATTGGAAGAATATGCATCTAGACTGGTAGTAAAGCAACAATTTTGTGTACTACTTCAGTATCTTCCAAGTAAATATGAAGCTTTTGTCTTTTAAAAAATGAGTTGTTTTGTAGATGATACTTGGTAATAAATACATTTATGAACTTTTTTAATGATTTAGTTTTGATGACATTTTGAAATGAAATATGGTGGAAAACTTTTGAATTTGGTTTTGGTGTAAAATGCATGAAAAGTTAAATTATTAATTTAATGAATCTAATAATTATCATACTATTAAATAACCTAAAATATTAAGGTATTTTATTTCTGAAATAGAAGCAATATTACTTTTCCATGTGTATTTACTAAAAGAACAAAACATCAACTATTTTATTCAATGAAATAAAGTGTTTCTATTAATGCATGTGCAAAACAAAGCCATTTTTTGACAGCAACATTGAAAAGAGCAGACTATCCTCCTTCCCTTAAAGTAATATATATTTATACAAAAACCTTACTCCTGAGATCTGTGACAGATTTGAATAGAAAACTCATCGGTTTCAGTCATCTTTCATGGTATTTTTGTTGTGTTCCTGCCAGATTTGCTAAGCGGTCGTCTTTACTTCCTACCCCAACCCTGACCAGCACAGTGTGACTGTGAGCTTAAAAGCAGTGGCATATTGGATACCCATTTATATTCTATTTATTGCTCCACAAAGATTTATGATTTTTCCTCCCAATTTCCCTCCGAGGCAGCATGACCATTTCGGAGACAAAGGGAGAAGCCGATTTGCCCAGGCTCTCCCGAATCACCTGATGTAAAATCCAGCTCCTCAGCGCAGAGAGCCTCCTCCTTTGTCTCCTCTCGCAAATTAGAAATCCTCTGGAGGATTCCCCTAAGTAGAAAAACTCAGGAGTTGGGTTTTTTTTTTCTGACTTACGAGTACTTCCTGACTATGTCTCCAAAGGCAAAGTCAAAAGATGAGCTCAAACAACACAACAAATCAAAACACAACACAACTAAACAAAACAAAAAAAAAAAACAAACCCAAAACCCAAAACGAAACAAAACAAAGCCAAACAAAATGCCAAGACAATGGAATCTCTGGCAGGAAAACCCACTGTCACCGCGGTGGCACTCAGAGGTGGCGGCTCTGACCCACACGGCACTCGCACCGACGCCGGCAGCCGCCCCCAGCACCCCTCGGCTCTCACACCCCCTTCTCTCTCCCCTCCTCTCCCTCTTTTCCCGGGGAAGCTGATCCGAAGGTAGCAACCTCTGCGTGAACCCTGGCATTACAGCCACCCCGGCTGCGCGCTGAACTGATCTGGAAGGGTACAGTTATCCCTCAGTCTGCAACACAAACGTCCCGAGAATTTTAATTGTCTTATAAAATATTTTGCTGGAAGTGACAGCTAAACAAAGGTGTTGACGCCATGGCTCGTCCTGTGCTACGTGAAACGTAAGAGCGTGCGGTTTCCTCAGTGTATTGTATTTATTTTCATCCATCAAAAGAGGCATTTTATGAAAAACAGCCTATCCTAAAAATGCTTCTAAGAAGAGCAATGATCTTTTAAATGGTATTAAAAAGTTTCGATTATTGAATTTTTACAATAATGAACAACAATTAAAAGATTTTAAATGTGTCCTTTATTTTTCCTATTGACTCAGGATTTTCTATGAATGAAGGACATAAATGAAAATCTTGTTCTATGATGAAGCAACTGACAAATTTCTGGTAAATTATTTTTAATAACAAACCTTCACTTTCTTACCTCCTAAGCTGGAAGTTCAGCTCTTTTCACTAAACAAACATGGAATAAAAAAATGTCTCAAACGAAATCGGTTTGAATTTATATGCTCACTTAAAAATACTCCTTATAGTGCACATGTAATCAATGAAGTGCTATTTAAAGAAGGGTGTACTGCTTACGCTCTAAGTAGTGTAAAGAAATGAACATATACTAAGGGCTTCTCCGCAGGCCAAACCGCTTCAGCAAAGTGCCCTGCCCTGAGAATATCCCCAAACCCGACGTGCTGACGGGAAGGAAGGCGGGAAGGAAGGCAGGAAGGAACCAGCTAACGAAGTTCAAGGGATAAGCAAGGTGATGGGGTACATGATAGGACAGTTATGCCACTTTGGATCGATGGTCTTTGGGTGGTTTTGTGGGGGTAAATCTCCTGGTTTGTTTGCATGTTCTCCAGAGAAAGTCTAGGCTTTTACTGATTTCTAATACAGGGATACCTTTTATTCCTTAGACTAGCCATACATCTGTAAGCTGAAGCACAGTATACACTAGGGTGCACTCCCACCCTCGCTCCTCCTAATAACCCTAAAGACAACCTGAGGGGCAGGTAACCAAACAGGCATCATCTGAGCTGGGACCAGCTCCTCCTATGGCAAGGCACTGTGTGGTTCTTGCTCCTGTGGGACGCGAGAGCCAAAACTTCAGAGGCAAATCCTGCTTTCACGGTGTGAAATGGTGACTTCTTTTTCGGTGGAGTAAGAAGCAGGACAAGAATCACAGAAGCATTTTCCTTAATCAAATTAATAGTTTCTGCAGAAAGGCAGGGCTGCTGGTCTACTTATTGACTTCTCTGGCATCACTGCAGCAGATAATTTAATCCAGAGCATCTAACATGCTTTGAATCTGAAAATTCCTTCCACCGAGAAAGAATACACAGAAGTAATGGCACAAAGGAACTTTCTATACTGCTACTCCTCTTAGCGACTGGAAAGGCTTTTTCTTATGCTTTTCTGAATCATGTTTCCTGTTGAAAAAAGCATTGAATTAGATAATGTTACCGAAAGGACTACTCCTGCCATTATCATATACAACACTATTTCACTGAGCAACAGAAAAGGAACAAAGAGAAGAATTCCCCCCCTCCCGCCCCGATCTTAAATGCAGCTTTTAAAATGTAATCATTTACAGCGGGAAAACATTTCTCTGCAAAGATGAAAGGCATTTCTGAAGGAGAAAGGAGCAAACTGTTCCCGTCAGTCCGCCAAAGGGATATATGAAACTGAGACTCTGCGAAGTGCCGGGACGAGCCGGGAACCTACCCGCAATGCTTCGGGGGGCACAAAACCCGGATTTTATGAAGCAAAACCAGTCAGTGGTTGTTAAAAGGCCATGCGGACTAATTAGTTTCACTTCTCCAATTTAGAAAGTTACAGTGGAAACAGATACAGAAGTACCACAGAGAGTTTTGTGGTAAAAAAGCGGCTGTGTAAAAGCAATTTACCTGTAAAAGGAAGCAAGCACAGAAATGCCCATTTTCCTGTTCTATCTCCTATTGTTCAAATAGTCAATATTATGCCTCATTCCTCCGAGCGAAGAGTCTGTATCTGCTGTACTTGGGTAAAATAGCAAGGCTAGGAATACTGCATATTATTTTTCAGGGGGAAGTATTGCTTTTTACAGAGCTTGCTCCACAGTGGGGAAAAAAAAAAAAAAGTGAATTTTTCCCTTCTTCCCAGAAGAAAGCAAAAAATAATAAAGACATAGCCAAATAGCATCCTCTGCTCATTTAACTGAGGTTATGAATCCAGGACAAGACACGAATAGTTACCTGAACGCAGATTTGAAATTATGGACGCACAAGAAAATTGAAATTTCTGTATACCTACTCCAGTCCTACATGCCTTTCCAAGGTGTGACATATATGTATTTCGTATAGTCAAATAGCACACTGCCTTTGATCAGCAAGAATTGCCATTTTTTTGCTTATATTCATAACATCCTATGTGGTATTTTGGGATGCCAATGAAAACATAACTATTAGTTCTTGGCACAAAAGCCAGCGTCCATTTTCTGGCTCCTTTTTGAAATAAATCAAACATACAGAGCTAGCTTAATGTGTCTTTTGGAGAACAGCAGGGCACATTATTATCTACAGTTTTATGCAGCTTTCTACTAGATATGGTCAAAGCATATTTCACAAAGCAAAGACACAAAACCCAAATGTCAACGCATGCTGTCCCATATTGAAGAAAAGACAATTTTGCTTTCAGACTCTTGAAATCAACCCGCACTGAAAAAGAGCCATTACCTTTTTTGCACCTTGTTCTTCTTCGACACCATCCCCTATAACAACATACACTACTTTTCTTCCAAATCTTTGAATTATTCGCTCAAAACAACTTTCCTTTCCTGAAAGAAAAAGATCAGACTATTCAGGACAGGTGGTGATGGGATGACATCAAACAGATCACTTTTTAGCCCGGATGTCCCCAGTACTATAATAAATAATTAGAGCTACTGGGAGAGAAGAGCCTCTCCCTCAGGATGGCATATCAAGGCCGATTGCAGCTTTACTCCTGCCACAGCAGCTGACAGGCAGCCTTAAAATTTGCTCCGTGAGATCCTTTAGTACACACGCCATGGTAGACATAGCGGACTAGAGGTCCGCAATATCACCTTTCTTGTCTCCTTCCCTAATCTGAGACAGGTTTTGGGCAGAATTTCTCTACCAGGAGAATTCTCTACCGGCTGTTTACGGCCAGTATCCTGAACTGAGCAAATTGATTGAATCGGAGTTGAAATTCTAGCTTTTTCTCCACAACCTGTGACAAGATTAATCACAGCTCCTGAAACAGTAGTATCCTGACTTAGAAGGTCACCCAAAAGATTTAGATTTAAATGCCTGTAATCCAATACATGGGCAAGGTCCTTGATCCTGCACTGGGATCCATTAATGTTGCTCATTACTTCACTGCACAGACCTGGGGAAATGATCCCAGTGCTCCAGTCCTACACGTAGGTACCGATACCGGGAAGCTTCAGGTACTGGTACTGGGAAGCCAGAAAGAAAGTAAATGCTTACAGTTGAGTTTTCTTATATGTACCCATTCTGAAAGATCACTTCAGTCTGGTCATGGTACATGCTTACCTGTGTGTCTACAGCAACCGACGAGAAAAACTGTGTTTTTCAAAATAGTTATTTCAGCTACAGAACAATACCAGCTAAAGAACAAATAGGTTGGAAATTCAAAAAAGGTTTCTAGCCAGCAGAGAAGCCAACCTACGCAATGACACCCTTTAACAGTAGCACCAGGCATAAGAAACCTCCAACACTAATCAGGGTGAAATGGTGCTTGAAAATTATTAATTGTGTCACATTACAAAAATCCCTTGATTTCCCGTGACAGTCAGTGACTGAATGCAGTTTTGCAAAAGTACCCTGCTGTCCTGTGTACGTGAAGTCATAAGTGAATATTTATTAAAATATGTTTTAACTAAAATGTGCATTTAAAGTATTATGATTCAAAGTTTTAATTTACTTTAAAGTTTTGACAGGCGGTACCATAACATTTCTATCCAGGAAACAGTTTTAAATCTTTTATGGCAATGCTTTCAAATTTCTACATAAAACTCTCAACCAAGGTTTTTTTTTTAAAAAAAAAAACCAACCCAAAACCAAACAAAAACAACCCACCATTTTTTCTTGGCCATTTGAGCTTCCTGTATTATAGATACTTAAGAACACATGAAAAATGTTTTCATGTAGCCCACAATTTTGAGGGAATCTGAGATAGAACAGATATGTCATAATCACATTAAAAACTACAAGCACCATTGCCATCTGGTCCTATGTACTTCTACATACTCAGAATAACATCTTTTATATTGAACCAGAAAACAGAAATAAACATTTGCCTGGCTGAAGCTTATTACAGTCAGTATGAATGAACTTAAATAATTACATTCTGCAGCAAAACATTCTTGCTTCTGGTAAATTGTTTACCAAAATTTGCTCCAGAGCCCATGAATGAAATGGAGCCAGGGCTTACCTTTACAGAATTTCTTCTGCTAATCAGTCTACTAAACAGCCTTCTGAACTGCTACATAGCCTCACAGTTTCGAGAAATGATGACAAAAAAGCAATTATATTTCCTCTTAACAGAAGCTGCATCAGCGTTAACACTGCTATATGAAGCTTTCTGAGCTGCATCATGACAAACATTTGAAAAGCACTTCTAGGATGTTTTAGCATGAGAAGTGTTTCATAAGATCAGATATTACTAATCTCTGTATTTGCTACAGTGAGTGCATGCAAGAAATATATATACTACAATAACTTTTTATTTAGAATTACAGCTTCAAATGTTTCACAATGTTATAAAAATAGCTCACCTATTTTAGTTGCACTGTAAATATTCTCTATGGGAAATACAACGCCTAGTCCATATAATAAGACTTTTGCCAGAGCTGGAATTAGCTGAGTAGTTGTTACAAGAATGTTCACACAGTTTGTCCTATGGAAGAGAAAATGCAAGCATCCTTTTTTTAACAAAAAGAAACAGGACAAGGAAAACCTTAACCCTCCCATCAAACCCCCTCACCATTATTATTGCCACTTACAAAGAAAGGGTTTTTTTTCCACCTTACAGGAGAGCCAGGTAAAGTGGCATGGTCAGACCAGAACAAGGAATGAGAAGAGGTCCTCCAGGTTCAGCATTTTGCCCACCAGACCAGGCAGCCTCTTCTAGACTATCAGCAGACATCCTAAAGTTTCCTAACTACCTCGTACTCTTCATACTTACCTCGAATGAATAAGGGTGAGTGCTTTCAGTGCAAGTGTTAACCAAGAATCTGTCAAAGCTTCAATTTCTGCTCTTAGTTGTAACCAAGCCTCTCTTTTTGCTGGACCAAGAAGACCTGTGGAGTAGATAAGGGCATGTCTGCACTGAAATCAAATAATGGTCTGTCATTTCCCTTTGCTTTCATTAGCTCAGACACAACTTTCCGCATGGTGCAAACTAAACAGCTCACTAAACACTACAATGTTAAAAAAGGAACATAAACCAAAAGTTCTTCCCTTTTACTGCTTTTCATCTATTTTTGTCATATACTTCAGAGTCACTTGCCTCCGACATTATTTTTGTAGGTATTATATATTTCTTTTACTCGTCTGTAGCGGAAAGCCAATTTTCGCATCCAGTCCACTCCTCCACGCACCCCCGTCGCGAGGCATAAATTCGCACTGGTGGCAGCCGCGGGAAAGCCGTCTGTTCCAAAGTTATAGGTGCTAGTCAGAGAAAAGCAAACCCCCAGATTAACAAAACACAACAGGCTACGTTCAAGCACCAGCTACTCCCTTTGCTGGATTGCAAAGGCTAAGACAGCTAAAAAGACAGCGGGCTACTTAAGTGTTACAGCAGTTCATCACTTTCCCAGGAAGGAACATGCAAAGCAACGTTTTATCTTGTTCAGTTCTCTTGTACCTTAAATCTTGACCGTTGTCGTCCGAAGACACGTCATCAATGTGAACCTGGTCGCATTCCTAAGGTGACAGAAAGACTTTGTAATTTTCTTGATCTTGCAAATCTCGAAAATAAAGCTATAAAAAACTACGAACAATCCACTTATCGGGCATATTTTTAATTGTGGAAATCAGTAGATGGCAGTCTTGTTAAAACAACTATTTTACCTATTCCTTGTGCTCATTTCTTAGAATAAATGCGCACCATCGTTAGCTACTACTGTTAAATGGCTTTCCAAAAACACATTTTTGTGTTTAGAAAGGAAAGTGGTTAAAAACAATTAGCATATGTGTTCCATAAACGTTCTTGTAGCCTTTCAGGTACCTTAAAACATCATGCTGCTCAAAGCTGATTCAGTCAGTGCATAAGTGTAACTGAAACCAGACATTTTGGTAAATGTAACATATTAGAAAAATTAAACCTGATGCTAACCGCCAATGAAATTATGACCTCTGATTGCTGTTGAGCCACACACCAACACAGCCTGAGGCCAGTGTTTCAGAGGAGCGCAGACGAAAAATCTGTTCCTAGTTTGCCATTCATTTGAGAGTTGTGAGTTTCCTTCTCTCTCTTTGGTCTTAGTGCATGAAAGCAGCATGCAAAGATGAAGAAAATCTGAACAGAAATAGCCAAGTCAAAGCATCTTTCTTCAGTGACTTGTATGCAAACTAACACGGCACATTCATAATTAGCTTTGTCCATCACTAAATTAAAAATCATAATGCATATTGTTTACCCACCAAAAAACCATTAGAACATTACTATTAACAATTTAACTTTTGGCAGGAAAACAAATAAACCTCTGGCACTCTAGATCAATCTCAATTCAATGCTTGAAACAATAATGGATTTCAATTATTTTAATAATTTCCTCTTCTCTCTCTTAATGCGAAGTCCTATAACAAACATGATCTATTTAAAACATGAAAATAGTGCAATCCTTTATTTTTGTGTTACTGCTTTCCTCTGAACAAATTTTTCTCTCTCCATGGATTTGTGAGGAAGGGAGGGAAGATAGAAGTGGAAAGAAACTCAAACCAGCTGTTCCCTAACAGAATTAAAATCATGACCCTCAACCCTTTTTCTAAAACATCTATTTTCCAGCCAACCCTCTCCCAGCAAGCAGCAAGCTCCAAGGAGGAAAAGACTTTGACCCTGTAACCTTCTCCTCCTCTCCTGAGGTCAACAACCTCAGATAAGAAAAAAGCTCAAGAAGTCTATTTGGCCTCACATGATGGCTATGGATTCTAGATTTTTAAAAACACAGGTCTATGAAAAATACCTCAGAAACTTTTAAAATGCCTTGAAGAACAAGGTGTGGTCTTTTGCACTTGTACAACATATTCTTACTCTGATAGGTACTCTTTTATACTTTACGCATAGGTAGCTTGTCCTAGAGAGAGAGGTAAGAGCGACAACCAGCACAGGAAAGACAATACTACATTTCCTCATATTTAACCACCATACAGCGAATTTCCTCCTCAGGCAGACAAATGTATTAGATGTGCAGACACAGCTGAAACTACAAGTGTGAACATATGTTACCAGACTTTGAAAATCAACTTGGCTAAAAAAAAGCTGGAAGCTTCTTCAGCAAATTATCATATTCACAGAAATTAAGGTGTTTTTTTTTTTTGTTTAAAACTGAAAGGAACTGTCCATCCAAATGCCTCCAAAGTTAACAATTCAAATATGAACTGAGTATAAGCTAATGAAGGGAAACCGTCCTGAATCCGCAAGTTTCCCATTGTAGCTACTCTTCAACTAGTCAGTGACTTCTGAGTCTCCATGGATAGAAAACTCAAGCTTGAGTTGCCAATGTAGCAGTGAAAATTATCAAGTCAATAGCCTCCTCCTCCAGCTTGGAAACTATGAATGTCAACGTGAACAAGTTGCCAGACAAGAGGATTCAAAATAGAAATCTGGGAAAAGAAACAATTTTTTTTAGTAACTAAAAAACTAAAAGAAGCAGTAGAAGATCAGCTTCTCCCAGGACTGCTTGAAAGAAGGAATAACGCAACAGACTTCCAAATTCAGCTCTCTCAGACAAAAGATAGAGGCAGGACAGATGACACCACTACAACTTAGTTAGAGAGGACCTGGCATTTTAATTTATGCTGCAAGGTCTTGGGAACATCACAAGCCCTGGGACATCACAGACATTCTCCCCTTTTGTCTAACTATCTGCTTGATAGGTAAAAAGTGAGAACTGAAATGATACATTTCAAATAGAAATCACGTTATCAAAAGAAAGAGGGATTTTGGAGAGAAAAACCCAGAAAAGAAATCAGAGACTCAAAATTGGTGGGGTAAAGGTATAGAAACAGTGTCAAGAAAGTACACGGAGTGAAGAAAAGGTCACAAACATCACAAATTTCAGGTAAGATACTGAATATCATAGAGAGAGATAGTGTCCTCTTTTGTCAGGAATAAAAGAAGAAAAAAGTAAAGTCAGGAAGGGAATGAAGCAAAATTAAAGCACAAGAGATACATGTTATAATTTGGAAAGGATTAAAGACCACTGTGATTGACACTACAGTACAACTAAAGGAAGGTCACAAACAGTGCACGACTGTTTTGTTCCTGTTGAGTGGCAGGACACAGCTTTGAGGCTAAATGTGAGCTTTGAGTGCCAGGTATTTTTTCATGCTGTCTGGCTGACTCGGACTTCGGGCTAATGAATGATTGGTGCATTTTTCAACCCCCGAACACGGGAAGGAAAAACACTCATTTAGCAATTGCTCTTTTAGCAGTAAAGGTATTTAGGAATACCTCTTCAAAGACGCCAATTACCTGCCCACCATTGATTGGTCCAACCTTCCTTCAGAACACCTTGTACCTGTTTTCACCTTCTTGCTTTGTGCGGAGCAATCAAAGACTACCTGAGACGTTGTTCAGTCCCCTGATTAGTTATAAGCAAGAACCCACACATTCAACCTTTTAAAATAGCAGTTTACTCAATATGCACCATAATCAGGGATATGCTAAAATGAAGTTTGACGCTGACCAACAAATAAAGTGTGTATTTCCAACTAATATATCTTTGCAAAGATATATTTTAATAAAAATACAAAGACTCGTATAATCCTCAAGTATTTCCCAAAAAAGTTTCTGTGATGGAAGCCAACTTACAGCTAAAGAGCCATTCAGAAAAAAAAAAAAAAAAACCCAAACAAAACCCCAAACAAAACCCCTGTTTTGTTGGCAGGTTAAGCATTTCAAACTTTTACAGATATATTTGACACTTTTGTAAAATTATGTAGGAAATACAGTACTAGTATTCTCCCCTTAATTTCTCTGGCAAAGTGTTATCTGAAATTAATACTGAAAGTCCCTGTAGAAACACTATAAATTCATGTTATTTATGCAGATGTATTTTATTACGATATAATCAGTTTAGCTGTCAGCTACAAAGCAGAATATTAAAATTGTTGGATTCTCTTTTAAAATAGGCTGAATTGGCAAGTAAGGAGCAAAATATCCTGTGGTTTATGTATAAAGATTATGCAGCAAGCTGTGTTTTGCTCCTAAAGGTGTTGACCTTGCAACTTCAGTGTATCCAGTTTGAAATCTTCATGAGGGACTACAAGCGATGACATGTTTGCATTGAAGGTTTGGATTTCAGTCAGACAGGCTGAGATGCAGCTCTGCACTTTGGGATCAATCCCTGGAAAGCAAAATGCACTTGGTATAGTTCCGGGATAATGCTTTCAGAAGGGCAAAGCATCTTAGGCATCTAAACCCTATTCTCACATAAGTCTTCTAAACTGCACTGATTTTAATGAAATCCTAGCCAAATTGCTTAATTCATATTTGAAAATTACATTTAGGCTACTAAAACATACAGAACCTTTAAAAGATCTTATTCATGGTGCCGCAGGCATGTTCTGTGTGCGAGGGGCAGACAGGGGGTAGGACAGGTATTCGCAAAGGGTGATTTAGTCTAGGGAAGCGACGCTGCTCTGATTCAGATCTCTGCTGCAGGTCCCTTGCAGCCATGGCCAGCAATCACAGGGCAAGTTGGTCAGAAACCCGGAGCAGTTCCTTTTTCTTGGTTGTTTTTCCATGCTATCAGCATACT